TTGGACAGCATACTATCATCTGTTGAGGCAAGGGCAATTTCTTGCCCTAATGGCTAGCTTTTGTCATAAAGAAAGTAAACTACATATGGAGGTTCTTCAATGTCTGTAGCACAAGTTCTAATTGTTCTTAATAATAGAAACCCAGAGTCGGATATAGGAGTTAATGCTGTAAGATCAAAGAAGCAGAGCAGCCAGCTACTAGTTCTTAACCTCTCCCGAATCCTCAGACCAAAGGGGCAATTCCGTCTCTAGGAATCCTCAGACTGAATGCAATGTGCTCCTCTCTCCACCCAGCCAAATCACTCCTGTTTCCACCTCCCTGGTGCTAGGATTAAAGAAGTGTGACTCCCAAATACTGGGATTAAAGGTGTGAACCTCCATTGTCTGGCTCTGTTTCTCTTTTAGACTGGATCATTCTCTTTTAGCCCAGGGTAGCTTGAACTCACAGAGATCCATCTGCCTCTACATTCGGAGTGTTGGGATTAAAGGTGTGTGCCACCACTGCCTGGCCTCTTTGGCTAACTAGTGGCTTAGCTCTACACTCTGATCTTCAGGCAAGCTTTATTTCTTAGATTACAAACAAAATACCACCATAGATGCCCATCATCCATTCTTGGAGTAGACTTGTCTCACTATCAAGAAAAGCCTTATGTTATGAAAAAATTTTAAATATCATACTCTGTGGTCTTTGAAGTGTTTGAAGGTCATCTATCTACCTAAAACATATCCCTGTATGACCTTGAGAACATACCTAAACATACAAGTTTAGTAGTTATAAATGAATGTTAATCTGCATTTATTATCCTAAATAGCTTTCAAAGACTAAAATTTAATTTTAGTCTTTGTTTTTAGTCTTTTGTTTTTGTTTTTTTGGTTTGTTTTTGTTTTTGTTTTTTTGGTTTTTCCGAGACAGGGTTTCTCTGTAGCTTTGGAGTCTGTCCTGTCCTATAACTTGATCTGTAGACAGGCTGGCTTCAAACTCACAGAGATCCACCTGCCTCTGCCTCCGGAGTGCTGGGATTAAAGGCATGCGCCACCACGGCTCAGCCTAATTTACCTTTTTTTTAATAAGCTGCACAGGTACAATACCTTAAACAAAAATAGAAACATAAAATAACCTTAAATTTATATCAGTATACGAAAATCCATACCAATGTAAAGTATTTGAGACTAGTGGCTATACTAGTGGCTGTTTAAAAGTAGACTCAACAATTCATCCTTTTACCTCATCATTTTTATACCTCAACATTTATATTCTTTCTTTCAGAAAGAAATCTTTGAATCTAATTTCTTTAATTTTTTTCTTTACTATGACCAACTTGTAAACAACCCCCCCTAAACAATGACAAACATCTATAACCCATCAAATGACCAAAAGCAATCTACCCCACCTCTTGGAAATGTGGGTGTCATGTTCAATAGACTGCTTCCTATTGTCTGGGATCTTTAGGAGATCCTGAGAAACTGGGATTGGGATAATGGTCAAGTCCTGAAAGAGTTAGCTGTATTGTTATCCAGTCTCTGTGCAATAGGAAAGTGCAGAGTTTATATGAGGTCCTGGCTAGAGTAGTCTGTGAGGTTGGACCATCTCATCCAGCAGCCTTGAAGCTGTTCTGGATATAGAACTCTGAGGAAACTGCAACAGAGGCACTCTGTATCACCTGGGCCACCCGTTTTCATTGGTGTTTGGATCCCCTTGCTCCTCTTCTTTAATTGTAATTCATGTGTGCTGGTGTTTTGCCTGCATGTTTATCTGTGTGAGAGTGTCAGACCCTGGAACTGAAGCCACAGATAGTTGTGAGCTGCCCTGTGCGTACTGGGAATTGAACTGACAAGCCATCTCTCCAGCCTTCCTTCCTGTCTTCATATGTTTTGTTTTGTTTTAAGATTTTATTTATTTATTCTGCTTCCATGTATATCTGCACCAGAAGAGGGCACCAGATCTCATAAAGGATGGTTGTGAGCCAACATGTGGTTGCTGGGAATTGAACTCAAGACCTCTGGAAGAGGAGCCTGTGCTCTTAACCTCTGAGCCATCTCTCCAACCCCTCTTTATATGTTTTTAAAGGACTGTAATTTGATATATACATATGTTTAGGGTTTTTTGTTGTTGTTGTATTGTTTTAAAGACAGGCTAACTCTACATCTTTAACTTTTCTGCCTCCCAAGTGCTGAGATTAAAGGTGTTCATCACCACACTGACTGATTTTTATGTTTTAAAACGAGCTGTCCCCTGAACATTTCCCCTCCCCCAGCCAAAACCAGGCTCAACCCCAAGTACATAGCTGCCATGTTTGGGAGCCCTAACAGCTTCTAAAAGATATAAAATCATGGTTTATATCTTATATCTTTGGCAGGCTGCAATATCAACTTAGAGTCCAATAGTTGGGGGCTCGTGGGTCTCTGAGGCACTTGAGAGTTATTTTTACCTGGCTATGTCTGCCACTGTAATCCCTCATTATCATAAATCTGTTGTGCATGTGTGAATGGAGAGTATAAGTGCTTGTACATGTCTGTGTGTGTGTGTGTCTGTGTATCCGTCTGTCTGTGTGTGTGGTGTTGCTGCAGTTGGTATTTAGTTGGTATTTGGTTTTTTACTTGTCTTTTGGTACTGGGCCTGAAACCTAGGGCCCCCGCTGTGCTAGTTGAGTGCTCTACTATAGAGCAACCCCCAGCCTTGTAGTTTGCCTTTTTGAGATAGAGTATCTCCATGTAGCTCAGGCTAGCCAGGAACTTGAAATTCTCTGCCTCAACCTCCCAGGCACTAGGATTGCAGGTCTGTGCTACCTCGCCTGGCCCTGTTATCTTTTTAAATTTGAAGTGGTAACCTCTGACATCAAGAAGAATATTTAGAGGATCAGACATGGCTGCATGATGAAAAATGCCAAGGACCACTCCCCAGCATGTATTCCTGTGTGACCCAACCTGCCTTCCTGTTCTCTCAGACATATTGAAGCTGTCTGCCTTATAGACTCCAGGAGTCACAAGCATCTCTCCTAAACTTCCCCCAAAAACATTCCTGAGTAGGCAAAGCATTCTTACCAAGCCAGAATCTCTAGCTTCTTCTCCTGTGCCAACAGAGCTCCATCCTAAACCTACATCTGGTAGTAGTAGTAGTAGATGATCAGATGACCCTGGTAAGGAGTCTTGTACAGTGTATTTCAAGGTCTCACCTTTAGCCTCTCAAGTTCAGGTACCAGTTGTCCTTGTATGCCAGAGGTAGACTCAATTGTGATTACTCAAGTAAGGTTCAGTATGTCATGGTCCTACAGCTGACCCAGGAAGAGTTGGTAGGAAGAGTCAGGATCCCACAGACCCAGAGAAACTCCCTCAGTAGACAGCTTGGGGAATGGACATACATCAGCTCTGATCTTGGAACATTTTAGGAGGTTATCTTCAACTTAGTTTCAGAATATAAAGAAGGGTCCTTATGCAAAAGACTATGGTTGTTCTTGGTGCAAAACCACCTGCTGGCTGAATTTGGTCAAGGGAAAGAGATGCTATTATAGGTCAGACTTGAATCATATGCCACAATATTAGGGCATCATTGTTGACAGCCCAGTCCTTACCATGGAGAGTCTTAAGATGGGAATGAGGGACAGAAATGAGGTGCTTACATAGAAAGAGCAGGGGTTTCTGGGTAGACAGAAATAATGGGCTTTACTTCATGTTCTCCTTAATGAATCTCCCCAACTGTGGTCAAGACCTGAGAGGTTGTATTTTATACTAGGACTCTTGACAAGCAGGAACATACTACCAGAGGAGGACAGTGGTGACTAACAGTCCATTGCTGCAGAAGCCCTGCCAGTCGGCTAAGGGACTGATGTTCCTGCTCACATCAAAGATGCTTTAGATGGGAAAAGCTGGCATTCAGAGTCCCTGTACTTGGGTCTGCCTGGCTCTGGCTCTCAATCTGTTCATGCTACCTGCTAGTTCTAGAACCCGAGGCAAATCACCAAACCTCTTGGAGCTGTTTTCACTCTTAGAAAATAGGCTCAGCCAGGCAGTGGTGGCACACGCCTTTAATCCCAGCACTGGGGAGGCAGAGGCAGGCGGATCTCGGTGATTTGGAGACCAGCCTGGTCTACAAGAGCTGGTTCCAGGATAACCTCCAAAGCCACAGAGAAACCAAAAAAAAAAAAAAAAAAGAAGAAGAAAAGAAAATAGGCCCATAGGCTGGTGATATAGCTAAGTAGATGACGGCCTTGCTACCAAGCTTTGTGGCCTCCATAGGCACATAGTGGCATACCCACCCACATGCATACACACACAACAAATAAGTAAATGTAACTTTAAATTTTTAATAGGATTATGGAGACTAGAGAGGTAGCTGAGCAGTTAAGAACTTCTTGCTCTTCTGGAGGACCTGAGTTCAATTCCTACTGCCCAATTCCTCTGCAGGTACTCATACACACATGACATATACTTACACTTGCACACACATAAGTAATATAAATAAGTCTTTTAAAATTACTTTTGTGGCTGGGCAGTGGTGGTGCACACCTTTAATCCTGGCACTTGGGAGGCAGAGGTACATGGATCTCTGTGAGTACGAGGCCAGCCTGGTCTATACATCTAGTTCCAGGACAGCCAGAGCTGTTACACAGAGAAACCCTGTCTTGGAAAACAAAAAGAAGTGGTGGGGGTGGGGG